TTGTTGGGGCTCAGATCCAAACCAGCTCTACATAGCTCTGATTTAGCAGAGGGCCAGGCAGAAATCGGAGGCTTCCTTCCAAACCCATCCTGACCAAGAGCCCATTCCCAGGAAGGGTGGAGAGGGACCAGTGGCCCCTGGGCATTGCCCGTCTCAGCTGATCTCCATTAGGATAACTCAAGTAGAAAAAAACAATGACTGGCTCCTGAACATGACTTTCATTTAATCCCACTGTATATTTAACTCCAAGGTCAGTTTTATTATGATACACAGATAGGAACAATCCTCTACACATGATATGCATTTGAGGAACCTTGGATGAGGATCCTCTTATGGTGCTGATAAATCTGCACTTGAATGTGATTCTGTGTGTGGGTGTGTGTGTGGGTCTATTTGTGTGTATGCATTAGCCGTGTGCACATGAAAAGCCTTGTGTGTTTGTGTATTTGTGTACTCACTGCCATCGCTCCCTCTCGCCTGCATAGGGGTGGTCCCCCTGCTCTCTTGTGCTCATGAAATCACTTCTAAGTGCCTGTAATTTCTCACGCTTCATCAGTACTGTAATTTCAAAAGGCTCCCTCTGAAGACCCTCCTTTAGTGGCGACCCGGGGTTGTCAAATGAAAACATCATTTATCCAGTGACCTCGGAGCTTCAGGAAATGGTTTGCTGGCTATTCAGCGACAGCCTTGAAATAGGGAGCTGTGGTGAGGGACTGCGGGGGTTTGTGAAACATGAAACAAAAGGTGGTCTGGCCCCTCAATCTACAGTATCAGGTTTGAGAGATTTCAGAAAAATGCACACATCCATTTGGAAAATCTTGTATGGAACCATTTGTATGTTTGCCAAACTGAGGTTTTCCTCCAGTGAAAATATTTACTTAGAAAAAAAGAAGCTGAAAGTATTTATTTCAATGCAATCCTTTCCTTCACCATGTCCTAAATGTGGTTTCTGTAGTTTTTGGCCCTCAGAGACTCAACTGGCAGTCCAGCCACTGAGTGGCTCAGTTCCATGGTTGGGTACTTTCAGGTTCAAAGTCTCGGTCCTGTGGGATTGATGATTCAAATATCTTTGTTTAGTTAAATGATAAATCTTTATCATGCTAGATGATGAATGCAGCATTGTCTGCTTGTGCTGCTTTGCCCATGTGCAGGCTTTGTCATCACTTTATAAGGCCATTCATGGAGAGCTTCTTTCACTCAGACATGTCCGCATTAGTCAGAAATGATGAAAGACGTTTGGGAAGAAAGCCTTCATGAGACATGCTCCCACTGCATTGAATAGCCAGACTTTACAATGAAAGAATTAAGATTTTGATTTTATTTATGCTCAAATGCCAAAGGAGATGCTGTCACTTAGTGTTTTAGTGGTATTATGTCTGGAACAGACTTTTTAGTCATTCTATTGGCACGGCTCAGTCTGTTCGACCTTTGATCCAGACTGAAATATCTAAAATATTATTGGATGGATTGTCATGACATTTTGCACAGGCATTCCTGGTCCCCAGAGGATGAATCCTACTGACTTTGGTGATCCCCTGACTTCTCCCCTAGTGCCACCATGAGGTTGACATTTGTGGTTTTGAAAAAAAATTCTGAGGAAATTTGGTACAGACACTCCCCAGAGAATGAATTGTAATATCATTGCCGTTTCCCTAACTTTTAATGTAGCGCCATCATCAGGTCAAAATTTCAATTTGTCCAGTACTTTGGATTGTGATCAAATACCTGCAAAACCAATGACTAGCCTTTGTGTGATTGGACTTTAAGAAAGGTTTAACATGCTATCATGCTAAAGTAATAATTTGAACATTTTCAACAGTATACAAGAAACATCAACATGCTAGCATCGTCATTGTGAACTTATTAGCATGCGGACATCAGCATTTGGCTCAAATCACTGCTGGGCCAAACTCAGTATAGTACAACCTCACAGAGCCACTGGCATAGCTATCAGGGGTGGGTAGTAATGCAAGAAATGCACATGAGTAAAAACAACATGAGTTGTTTGTAGGAATGAGTGCTTTCCACGTTCCTTTCCTTAATACATTCTTTACTTTACTTTGTACCTTTGTTACTCTGCTCTACATGTAGGGCCTAAGGGACAAGAGGCAACTTTTAACGACAGTCCCTGGCCACATGTGGCCACTTTTTACACCAAACTCTTAAAAGTAATTTGTTTTTTTAACTTGGTACTTTTTTAAATTAATTAATTAGTAGATTTCTTGAATGGTAATTTTCACTTTTTGAGTTTATTTTTTATTATAAATAATTTTTACTTGAGTATAGATTTTCAGTACTTTACCCACCACTGATAGCTGTTGACTCTATGTCTTGTCTTATTCCAATCATACTGCAAAATTCTTTGTATCACACACTTTATGATAACAATAACTTTCTAAGATTACAATCACAGTGATGTATTCATTGATAACTAGCTCAAACTACAGGATCATGTCCGGATTGTCCCAGATCAGAAATATAATGCCTATTTCGCCTCAATCCAAGTCTCCATCATGATGAGTGAGAAGTCCTAAACCCAGACACACCACAAAAGGTAGTGAGTTATTTGCTCAGACCAGCACAGACTCCATGATCTTAAAATTACCAAATCTGGATTATCATCTTGCTTGCTACCATCCTGTAATGGGGTCCCAGCATTAGCAGAAGAGCTCTCTGTGTGTTTCTTTGTGTCTTTTATGCAGGTGTTGGAGATCAGAGGTGGTGGGGATAACCCTGGGATCTTAGTGAAAGCTGAGTGAAAGTTAATGGGATGGAGGGTCCTCAGAGGGCACCGAGGGAAAAAGGGGTCATGACATTTAATCGTCCTGCCCCGACAGGCCAAGGCACTGACATAGAGGTCAGGGGGGACATAAATGAACCAAGGAGGACATGGGTGGGGCAGACACACACAAAGGGCCTCTTAGTGCAGTGATCAGGCTTGTCACCCAGTAAGCCTCCCTGTAGCGCTCTCCTATGGATTAACTCTCTGAAATACACCTGGAACATGACCCCGGGCCACTGATGACACTATCACAAATACAAAAGTGATCTGGGGGGGAGGGGAAACTCCTATCGAAGCACATGTTTACCCCAATTGTAAATCATAAACCCTCTAAAAACAGTAAAGTCTGACAAGGACACTTGAGCACACCAGCTCATTGACTCTGAGGTAAACATGTACATCGTGATTCAGCCTTTGCCGTAATTCTCAACCAACGCTGGTCATCTGGACCAATCATGAAGCAGTTCGGCTTAGAGCCACAACATAACAGGAAGACACTGGCATAAACACGAGCTATAAACACAGTCAACACAACCAACATAACACTGACACACTGCTGATTAAAGAGGGAAGAGGTTTGCTGAGGAGGTGTTCAAAAAAGGAATACACACAAACAGTCAGTGATTAGAGAAGATACTAATCTCTCTGCGCAGGGTGAAAGTCAACAAATCAAGGTGAGCAGAGATAAAAAGAACATAATGTAGATAATGTGAGGTCTGCTTGCATTTTCACACAATTATAAGAATGAGAGGTCTGCTGATGCTTTAGAGTGCATGGTCAGTCAGCTAAGAGAAACAAATAGTTGTCTGGCCTGACTTTGTGAACTTTTATTTTGAGTTTTCAGGTAGTGGTTTGAACTATCTTCACAACCTTAAGCTTTACTCTGAGTCCCTTTTAAATTAGCTAAAAAATAAAAAAACCCAACTCAGGCACATATCTAAACTGGCAGACTGTAGTATGTGTTTTACTTCTTGGGGAAAAAGGACTAATGCGGCAATTATGATTGTTATTGTAAATGACAACACATATTACACATATATTACACATGATAATAATAAAAGATGTTCCCCAAGAGATGAAAAACCTGAAAACAAAGATGTAATCTCAACATGATGTGAATATTTTAATAAGAAATAAGAATAAAAAACATATGCAATGTGGAGGCACAGCAATGTTCTTCAGTTACTAAACAAAAGCTTCAGTAACTGGGTTGTATAAGTCTGAATACCAGCAATGTGAAAGTAATAATTATATAATCAAAATGCTACCAGTGATCATTACTGGGAATGGTAGGTATGATCATACTCCTGATTTATGTTTCAGCCTGGAGGGTTTGGTTCACATGGTCTGAGCAGCCGGCTTCAGGCCAGAACAACCATCAACCAGCAGCCTTTGATTGTTGGTAAATTGTGGTTTTAAGCTGAAAGGGTCAGTCAGACCTCTGCTCTACTGCTTGTTGGTACAGTGTGGTTTCTGAATTATAGAACACGTGAATTCAAACCAAAACACACATCCATCACAATATTCGGAGGTTTTAGAGGTTAATGGTGAACGGGGAAAATGATGGTGAGTGTTTTTTTCCTGAGTTATGTGAAATGCATTATCAGTGCTACTCTGTAATAACCTGCTAGTATTAATGGATCGAACTGGCACATCCATTTTCTAACATGGAGCACAAACAAAAGTGCGTTTGAGCTTCTGATTTGGACGTGTTAGCATTTGTTCTTATGTGATCTATGCCAATGGGAACAACTTTCCAAAATGTTCTGATTATTAACTGTGGTTTATGTCAGTGGGGCCTTAAATTGTAAGTGGGTGGTCAGATGGTCAAACAAGGTTTAATTCCTGTATATTTTAACCCATTGTGAACCAATGAGTCAATGATGCTGCCATAGTGATTTAATATGGTAGAGGCTCAAAGAATATAAAGGTTTCACTGCTTCATTTTCACCCACAAAATCAAGTCTCAGGTGAGAGTTTTTATTAGCATAGTTATTTAAACATGTTTGGGGATATGATAGGTCACAAAGATGCATTGTTTGTGTATACAGTACGTAGGGAAGACTGAAAGTGATTGATCCTATACTACAGTACTACTGTCTTTACAGCGTTGCCTCCACCGTGGGCAGGCTGGGAGAGCAGCCTGAATGAAACACAGGCTGGAGTGTTGCACGACAGAAAAAGGTAGCTTCTGGTTACAAACTTTGGACCAATCAGGACGCCGCTCTGCCTTCCTCCAGCAGGAGCAACAGAAGTTCAACCTGGACCGCTTCACGGAGAAACTATCTGCTCTAAATTCAAACTGACAATGCTTATTCCCTTCCGCCGACATATCTGATAGCCAACTAATTGTCACTGAAGGAAACATTTCCGAGAAATGACAATGTTGGGCATGTACGTGCCAGACAGGTTTTCTCTGAAATCGTCAAAGGTCCAGGATGGAATCGGTCTTTACACGGCGAGGCGAGTGAAAAAGGTTTGTTGTTTCTGACTGCGCAACTTTGTAACCGAGTTTACACGCGGGAAGCGTTTTTATGTTACTTTTTAAGCGATTGAAAGCGGTGTAGGTCGTTTTTCTGTTCGCCTTATTCCTTAAAATCTCAGTCAGGGTCTCAGCCTCAACCCAGGGCTCCTCTGACGTGAAGTGCCACGTAGCTACAGTGGCTCCAGTTGTTTCTCTCGTTCACTTCATAACAATGTATTCATGTCGGCACACAAGGGTCGCGCCGCGTGAACCAACACATACTGTACATGAACGTTACATTCAGCGTGAAGCCGTCAGCTTTTTTTTACGTCTTTATGCCAAAGCGCAGACGTTTCCCCACTGCTGTCAGACACATAGAGGAGGTCCATGACTTAGCTGAGGATGAATGGGTTCATGTAAATGAGTCGGGATGTGCTCACATTCAAGACGTTGCTATTTAAATCTGTGCTACAGAAGTAAAGCGAGTTGAGGATGAACATGAATACAAGAAGATGAACACACTTTGACCACGCCCCCTGGATGTTTGGCACTTCTGGAAGGTCAAAGGAAAAAAAAAAAAAAGAAAAGTCCAGTACTGAAGGATGCATTCACATGTCACATTAAACAGGAGGCGTGCCCACTGGTTATCCAACATTTGCCCACAGTGCAAATAATAATAATAATGATAAGGATATTAATAATGGTTTGGACAGTCCACTGGGGGTGTTTTATGGTTTTAATATAATCTGACTACCAGTTTGCTGTACAATGGCATCATGTTTGACAAATGATCCGTCTGTTTGTTTTAAAGGGAGAGAAATTTGGCCCCTTTGCAGGTGAGAAAAAGCTGCCTAGTGAGCTGGATGAAAGCTCGGACACCAGGCTTATGTGGGAGGTGAATGCACGTACATTCTCATATTTCTACACATTTAAAGGGTTCAGAATTCAAAGGTATACTACATAAATTGGGTTAAAGCAATTATTTTGTTGTAGTTAAGAGGCGCATACAGAATAACACTAGCCTCACACTCACACCTCACAGCTGCATTGACAGAGCACAGTAAATCCATTCCTTGCTTATTCTATTGCAGTTACACACAAAACACATCCTTTTATCAGAGGACAGCTGAAAGAAAGACACAGCAGCTTGCAGTCCTGTCCAAATATGTTCTCAGTTCTTCAGTGATAGACAGAACATTTAATTGCATTGCAGATCTGTTAACCATACTGTCTGATTTAAACTGACTCACATCTCATGGAAGCCATTGATGGTAACCACTGAAATATGCTGTGATGCAGTTATCTGTAGCTGCCACATTGCGAGGTACAAGCCTGTGCATATGATTAGGAGTCCATATGAAAGAGCAGCACACTTTGATGCACAGAAGACAAACCATGAAACCAACAAGAGAAGAATCAGTTGTTCACTTCTGACAGCTCATACGGTTATTGTTTTTTTTGTTTTTTTCCAGGTCCGTGGCAGTAAAGGAGATGTGCTGTATATTCTGGATGCTAGTAACCCACGGTATGCCAACTGGCTGCGGTTTGTCCATCAGGCGCCTTCACAAGAGCAGAAGAACTTGGCAGCCATACAGGTACATTTCCTCTTACTGGACAATGAATCCCTCAGACTTTCCTAAAAAGACAGACTAGAAAGACAATGATACATTTTACAGGCAATACACATCTGTCAGGACTGGCTAATGATTTTTTAAAAAGTATATCTATAAAGAGACCTCTAAAAATAGAGAGGTATTTTTTTCTTAGCAGCAGACAGACTCTTTTCAGCCTGGAAAACCTTCAAAGCAAGATCTGAAAAGTCACTTTTTTTACAGTAGCACAGGTCACTAAATGGCAGCGTCTCATTGTGTTTGTTCTGTAAGACATCCCAGATGACCACAAGAGTTTAGTTTTACAGATGAATATTATTAAACATATTACAAGACAGATCAGTGGCAACAGAGTGAACATGGTGGATAGAGCATGGAAAAGTGACAAATCTACAAAGCTTCAAACTGAACTTTGAAAGGAATTCTCATCCAGAAACAGGATTTCTTTTTTAAATAATGACATTTTTGTAAAATGTATTAAATTGCTTGTAAAATTGGGCAAGGAGAGATGCATTTAAATTTGATTTCTGTATATATTTCAGTGCATTTAGGAGCCATAAAACATTTGTGGTAAATCCAGATGTAAGACTATATGCGAGAAGTGCTTCAACTGGAAGAAGGTTTAATAGAATAGCAACCTCTCTGAGGGAAGGTTTGTGCGATTGTTGATCCTGGAGTTATTGCAGCATCAGGGAATAATTCTCTTTTTCAATTTGTACTTTCCAAAGTTTCCAATAACATTTTTTATAGTTATTATATTGACAAATTATTCATAGTCAACAGTACCAAGGTCTCTGAATACAAAAACATCTGAAGAATTAGCAAAACACAACCTCTTACAAACACACATTTACACACTCAACACAACTTTAGTGCTCCGGATCTGGGAAATTTCAGCTCTTGCACTGCTGTGTAAAAGATGAAAAAGATTTTTCTCTCCTGGTGGAAGAAAAATAGAAGCTGAATGAAGAGGAGACGAACATTTCAGGTCTAAGAGCCAAGTTCCTGCCATCTATACACAAATGTCCAAAGTGATTGGTCGTTTAAAGGTCATCCATGTGTGTTAAAGCTCTGTGTTCCATCAACAGTGACATTTATCGTGTAGCTTTCCTCTTCCTAATCATTATTTATGTATATTTAGAATCCCATAGTTAAAACAAAATGACTGCTTGATTTTATTAGCATGACCTTTAAGGACAAGAAAGTTAATGACAACATTTTTAAGGGTTTAAGATTTTGACCTGCGGCCTCAATCAGGTTTAACAGACTGTTGTCTGAGCGTAATGAGTTCAACCTTCAGCCAGTCTCAACAGTTGCTCACTGTTCATTACCATAAATGGTTATAAATGTATTTTAGCAGGAATGTTTTTCCCATTAGCTACATTCTTCTCAAATTTGTCAGGTAGAGTTCTGCCAGTGCTCCATGGCATCGTTTCTATTGTGTGTTTACTGGATTATAACCATGTCATTGTCTCTTAGGATGGAGAGAACATCTTTTACCTGGCTGTTGATGACATAGAGACAGACACAGAGCTCCTGATAGGCTACCTGGACAGTGACATGGAGGAGGAGGAGGAGGAGGAAGAAGAGGAGGTCATCAAGGATGAAGATGAAAACAGTAAAGATGCCAAACATATTGTTGAAATGGGTACAGTGGAGTTATATTAATCCTGAACATAGACGATTAACTATTATACACATTTCAAAGAAACACAGAAATGAATATTTGCCTCTTAGATCTTTGCTCATTGTGTGTGTGTGTGTGTGTGTGTGTGTGTGTGTGTGTGTGTGTGTGTGTGTGTGTGTGTGTGTGTGTGTGTGTGCCACCTCTCTACAGAACTAGTAATAAAGAAGGAGGACCACCCCTGCTTGCTGTGTGAAAGCAGCTTTCCCAGTGAGGAGATCCTGGCCGCCCACCTCCAGAGTCTCCATCTGAAGGACTTCAAATGCAGAAACTGTGGCAAGAAGTTCCCCGTCAAACAGGCTCTGCAGCGCCAGTGGGTTTTCTGTTCCATCACTTAACTGCTTGTAGTGTAGTTTTATGTAACGTTTAACTCCTCTAACAATGAGTCTGCAGGTAATTAAAAAACCTGAAAAAGTATTAAATGAATTTGGCAGACATTTTGGTTTGAGATTATATGTTATAGAAAAGAAAATCCGTTTTCAAGGGTATTTATTACTTGGATTATAATACAAAAAATGCATCAAGTTATTAAGAACGAGGATGTTGCCGATTATATAAAAGATTGAATTAAAAAAGGCATAGTTTGCCATTTTGGGAAATACGATTAAGATTGAAACCAGCCTCATTTCTGTCTGTTTAGTATGGAGCTTGTGCCAGCAGCAAGTTAGCTTAGCACAAATACTGGAAACAGGAGGAAAACAGTTAGCCTGGCTCTGTCTAAAAGTAGCAAAATCCACCTACCAGCACATTTAAAGCTTGTTAATTAACATGTTATACATCGTTTAAACAATTCTTCCTGGGCTATTGTCGTCATCATGACTAGTAGAGACTCCAGGAAGTGACTGCGCTTGCCAAGAAATAGTCCGGCACACAACCTCTCATAGAACCTCAAATAGATGTTTTTACGATACAGTCTTGAACAGATTAAATTGGATATAACATGTTAATTAATGAGCTTCAGAGATGCTGGTAGGCATAGAGCCAGGCTAGCTGTTTCCCCCTGTTTCAAGTCTTTATGCTAAGCTAAGCTAAGGCCACGGCTACAGTTTCAGTCAATGTCTATATACGTAAAATATGTTGCATTAAATATATTAATGTACTTTTTTAAACTCAGCACCTCCTGTATGTGTTTGAGATGCAAATCTTTCTTGCGTTTCTGTTGACAGAATCCATCAATATGTTAACAGGGCTTTGATTGTATCGTATTTATCAAAGGCAAACTCAGTATAGAAAGATAGGGCTGGCAGCAGCCGCTCAAAAGCAGAAACGCTCTCTGTGTGGTCACGTGAGGCGTGCGAGCTGCAGCAGTTCAGTGCTGGCGTGCACTACTTATGCATCCTATGTGGACTGACTGTCAGGGTCGGCTGGCTGTTGCTTTATATTTAATGTACAGACATGAGAGTAGTATTGATCTTCTCATTTAACTCTCAGCAAGAATTTGAATACATTCATTTTCCCAAATCTCAAACTATTCCTTTAACTAAATTTGATGAATTAATTTCATTAAAAATGTATTTGTTTAAATTTTTAGTTAAAATCTGACAATCTGATGACAAAGAATAATGTTCATCCTGTATATCTGCTCTTTCTACTTTTGTTTAGCCCTGACATGTTTCATTTCTTATTTGGTGCCTAATTTGGTTTTATTTTGAATCCTTCCCCAGTGTTTTGCATTGTTCTGAGTCACTGGATCCATCAGGTGACTCTAAAGCGCACCAGTGCTCCCTTTGCCACAGCACATTCAGCTCTGAATCCAGGTAACATACATTGCCCAAAGGGAATTTATAACCTGTACAGTGCACACATGGACACGTGTCATTTATTTGCCAAGATGATCAGTAAGATAGAGTTCTTTCTTCTTCTTATTCTTCTTCTTCTTCTTCTTCTTCTATGTGTACAGCTTTGAACAGCATAAGGAAGCTTGTAAAGGAGACGCCAGGTTCATCTGTAAAGCAGAGAGCTGTGGCAAAAGATTCAAGAGCAAGGACGCTCTGAAGAAGCATAAAGGAAATGTTCACACAGGTTGGCATCTCTGTCTCTCCCTGTATGTGTCTTTGTGATTTTCTCTCTCTCTCTCGCTAGTGCACACATATTCACATGCACAGTGAACGTCATGTAATGAAGTTAATTGTCCATTAGCAGCCTCAGCACTCAAGGAACTGCAGTAGCAGTACTTGACCTCGATCAGTTAAAATCTCTGCAATGTTGAGACACATCTCTAATTACTTGTGCTACATAATTGCTGACCTGTGTGTTCTGGGGCGGCTCACTCCTTTAGATAATTGGACTTCCATAGCTATTTATGATGGGATGTAGGGCAGCGGGGATCTGTGCAGCCTTACACGTGAATCAAATATCAACCCGTGATTAAGACATTCATCTCAGAGGGTGACGGAGCCGGCGTGTTTTACCACTGTGGTCAGGACAAAGGGTGTGTGTGTGTGTGTGTGGGCGAGGGGGAAGTGGATCAGACTCGTCAGATGTGGGGCATGTGATTCAGATGGGGTTGAGGGGAGGGTCCCAAAATGATGCATTGGTGGGATGATTTGGCCTGCCATGAGGAGAGTTCAGTGTCAAGTCAGACTTTTGGTATTTTTCTGTTTCTGTGTGACGATTGTCTTGAAATTGCCGTCATGATTTCCCACTTTTGTTATCAGTCCTGTAGGTTAGGTTTGGTCACTTTTCATCCACTATTTCTTTTCTTTATAGGAAGTGCACGTCGGAAACTCACATGCACCATATGCAACAGAAAATGCTCATCTTCTTTGAACCTACAGGAACACAGAAAGGTGAGGCTCTACAACATCTACTGTAGGGCTCAGATTATCCCAACCAGATACTTTGCATTGGATCTGAGAGGATTTACTCAGCTTACTCAGTTTTGCATGATCCATTTTTACAGTGATGTCTCTTTTTGGCTGTTTCTCGCTGTACAGTGGAATCCATCACTCTTTCTGCAACCCAGTCTAACCTCTTTAATCTTGCTGTCGTCTCTGCTTCCTGAGCTTCTGAGTTCAGTTATTCCCTCTCCACGCGAGGATGTCTTTATGATCAAGTTGTTACAAATTTATTCTGGGTGACAAAGAGCTGAGGGGTGGTTTCTTTTTCACTGGCTCATCCCACAGGTCTTGTGAAATTTGAGAGGCTCTGTTGGCAGACAATAAGGTTTTAACCTTGGCGTCAGGATTCTCCCTCTTACTGATGCGTTACAGATTTGAACTGGGCTGTTTAAATACTATTCTGAAATGTTTTCCTACAAATAGATATGTGGTACTGTGCCATTATCAGTGTATGTTAAGTTCATGACAGCTTTTGCATTTGCTGTTTGGCTATCTATGACTGAAATGGTTTTTCCAGGTTACACTCCTCTGCACAACGTAGGCTAATATACCATTTAGAAATGTAATTTCAATGCAATTATATGGAATTTATTTAATTGCACTAAATAATTAGCCAAAATACATGAATACAAGTTCAAGCTGCTGTGTCTTTTCCTTTAAACTGAAGCTGCTTTTGTACTTTCTCTTGAACAGTTTGTCCCTGTTTGTATAGATTATTTCCAATGAAACAAGAATATTTATAAATTATCTATAAAACTTATAAACCTTATGAATTAATCACTTCACTGAAAGCTGTTCTGTGCTGCAGGTCAGGACAGCACATTTGATGATGTTGGGCACTGGTGTATTATGCAAGTTGCCTCAAACAAATTGTCTCATCAGTTGTCATTCATTAACTAACATTCTTCATTAATTATCCCTGCTGGTAATTGTGACATTTCATTTTCTCTTGTCAACATCTATCATCCAGATTAATCAACAGGCATTAATCCATCCCTGCCACCTTATTCATCACTGAGCCACTTCCAAACTGTCCGACATTTAAAGTCACCTGGAAGTTGTGACATAGTTCTGCATCATTTAACCTACTTCACCTGTCTATGAGTCAGTGTTCTCCAGTTTCAGATCTCCAGGGTACTTTAAAATAGGCGTATGTAATATTCCTATGTGGCCTCCTTATGTGTGTATGTGCCAGTTCTACTATTATGTGGCTCATGGTAGCTTCCAGTCATGCACTGTTGTCTGAAATGCATAATGTGTTTCTATAAATGTGGGTCAGGATTACATTCGATTTTGACAAATTATGTTTTTTTCACATTTAATAAAGATGTTCAGAGGAATCAAGTCCTACTTAAACACAAAGTATTATTATGAATATGGCACATTTCTGTTAAAACTGTATGTGGTTTATTCTTATAGCTTCAATTGAAGACATTTGGGCATTAAGTATTATTCTTGCAGACGAGCAATCAAACTTTCCATAATGACACGTTAGCTCCAAAGCAGCTTAAAACTGCCATTATCATCATTTAGCTGAACAAGCTTTTGCAGTAGCAGCTGTGACAAGAGGAGCTGCTTTGCATTAGCATATGCTATTGTAGCTGTACGCCGGGGAACTATTGAATATGCAATTATTGGAGCGATGCTCTGAAGCAGAAAAAGGATTGAAACTTTTCATCACTTTAATTGCTTTTCTGTCTGCAGACATCAGTCTAATGAAAACGGACAAGATTTAGTTCCTGTTGATCATCGCAGACCGTGATCCTTCAACTTCTGCATGCTCTTTACCCCAAGTTTTTAAAAATGATCAGCAATAGCAAAAACTTAAAACACTCTCTTTTACCCTTTTGTTGTAGGTACATGAAATATTCGACTGCCACGCATGTGACAAGAAGTTCATCTCTACAAATCAGCTGAAACGCCATATGATCACACACTCGGGTAAGAAAGTGGTGCCTTAAATACCTTGCTCCTGCACTTTATGCATCGTCTCTGTTTACCAGAATGCATCAATGTCAATCTTTCACTGATTAGAGAAGCGACCGTATACCTGTGAGATCTGCAGTCGCTCATTCAAGCGTCTGGACCAGGTGACGGCTCATAAGATCATCCACAGCGAGGACAAACCGTACAAGTGTAAGCTCTGTGGGAAAGAGTTTGCTCACCGCAACGTCTACAAGAATCACAAGAAGGTAAGCAGATGTGGTATCACATATAATAATAATAATAATAATAATAATAATAATAATCCACTGGTGGGTTAATTGCTACTGTAATCAGGCTTTCACAAGAGTGGTAATTATTTTCTTATACCATTATATGTGGCTGATTGGTGTTTGCTGAGAAGAGATATTAACTGAAAGGCAGAATCACTTCAAAGCTAGAGTTATTAGTGAGGCTGTAATCAATCAGGGTCTCGTTGGTGGCTGTTATCTGTGGGGTCTCTGCCCTCCTCCACCCCTGAGGTCCCCCATGTTTACTTTTGGGATTGAGGTGTCACTCAGATAGATAGGTCTGGCATAGGGGAGGGGGGTCAGAAAAACAGAAGCACTTTGAACTTAAAGCCCCTCAAGCTGCTTGTCTTCATGAAGACAACAAACCAAATCGGCTACGGAGCCTTTTGCATGATCTTCTCACATCAATTTAAGAAGCTTCGTCAACATCCTTGCTGAGGCAGGAGATGGCTCTGCTTACACATTATAAACATGCTGATGCTGCTCTGCTCCGTCTACAGACCCACTCTGAGGAAAGACCCTTCCAGTGTGAGGAGTGCAAAGCTCTGTTCCGCACCCCCTTCTCTCTACAGCGTCACTTACTTATCCACAACAGTAAGTATGAGTGTGAGTGCCCCTGTGTGGTCTTGTGACCCTGTCCACAATGAATACATACCCCCATATGAAGAGCTGCAACAATTAGTCATTTAATCAGTTAGTTAATTGGCAAGTGACAGCAATGTTAAAGATAAGATAATCCTTAATTGATCCCCCAGAGCGAAAATTTGGGTCACATGCACCAAATAACACAAAATACACAGAAAGTTACATAAGCTGCTGCAACAGGCTCCTACTCAAGCGACGCCATCTTTCATTCTACCTTAAAGATCCCCTCCAGACATGCACTGAGACATAAATAGAAATAATCTACTTCGAACAATAAAGTGTGTCTGATATTATTTTCCTGCAAAAAAAAGTATAATTTACACATTAAAATCCTTAAAAGGGCATCCTCTTCTGCCTTGTTAAAAATTTCAGAATCTATCGATATGCAAATTTTTCCCCACCCCTTAAAATCAGATTTTTAATGAACACAGAGAAACTTTCCACTTTCAGCAGCTGAATGTGAAAACATCCTTCTAGTGTCAAACTCGAACCATATGCTACTGGTTGTACCAGACCAGTTAAGGCTGTAGCTGCAGAAGTCTTGAGGGTACTGAATTGATGGTACATTTTATTGCTTCTGAATTCAACTTTACATTTGTAAGAGGAAGAATGTGTTATGTCTTGCAGTTGTAGTCCTACTCATAAAATTAAATGGGATCAGAATTTTGTTATTTTTGTATCCTTTTCCCCTTTCTTTCGTAGTGGTTTAGGGTTTCAAATTTTAGATTTTATGTTATAAAATGATTTTTTCTTTCATAAGGTGCCATAACTAAATGTGAAGTGGTTTTTGAGGAGAAATAACCTTGGATTAGATTATTACATTTAGAATTGTAATCATTTCATTATCTCCTAGAAGAAAAGTTTTTAAGCAAAAACCAACTTTAGTGTGATCTTTATGTGTCAGTCCTTTATTTTCATTGGCCTTCAGCTCATCCTTACCCCTGTGGATATTGCTATTAATAATAGAAATCATAACTCTATCAAACATCTCACCAAGGACACATTGGAGTGTGTTCAGGCTGTCCGGTGGTGCTTTGGCACCCAGGGGTTTGAGAAACTTTCTCCCCAGACAATTGAGCTGCAGTCGAGCCTTGGCAGGATGCAGCGCTGCTTCTTGAGCCAGATAACAAAGAGATTGTAAAGCTCAAGGCATTTCCTGCTGCTGTCTCAGGAGGCAGGCTATATAATACCAGGGCTCGTATTATGTATCAAGTTCTAGACAGTATGTGGGGCGGGAGGATAGAGTGTGTGATTTCACTGTAGGTGAGAGAATAGACATGCTAGTGAATAAATGTATCTGTCTTTGTGAGTTAATGTTAGCAATCGTCTCACAGTGGGAAAATGAAGCACAGCTGTTTAAACTTTTTTAGCTTAAATACTGTGCTTTTTTTCTGGGGTTGTGTATTTGGTCACCAAACTCTTAACTTGTTTTAAATCGCTTGTTTCAACTTGATGAATATCACCTGTTCACAAGGAGGTGATTGGATCATTAGCATAATCAATGTAAAAACTTGTTCCACTCCATAATAAAATATATTCTGAATTATAGGAATACAAGTCCAAGTCCTGCTGTCAGAAATCAGCAGATGACAACATGACACAATATAACAGTGTCAGTAGCTGAATTGGGCGACCTGAAGCAATTAGCAAGAAAATATGAATACAGCTGCTGTCATACAGTAGGTGATGTTACAGGTGTCAGGTGTTATAATGGAGGATGATCCTGGAGAGAGATTTAGACCTACATATAGACCCTCAGGCAGCTGTCAGAGTGAGAGAGCAGCTGCTGAACTTGAATCATAAAATATAAAAAACAAAAAACATCACACCTGTCAGTGAATTAGAAAGCCAAGATAAAGTTTGGTTATTTAAACTACACATTCTTTTACATTAAGGCTTTATGATTCTTGAGTCAAACAATACTCTTACTGTATAAATTATTATCTGTCCAGGTCTGTGTAGGCGCATACATAGTTTAATGACAGACTGAAGCCCTGCTCCAAGTAATAATGAAATCTTTATGTGAGGGTGTCGTTGACATTAATTATCATCAAGTCAATGTTCCAATTTGATTAAAAACACAATGGACCTCGGCTTTCACTGGTGTTCCATTTTATTGAGCTGACCATCATCGGCCTTGGTAATTGGAGAACGAGCACAAGGTTGTAAGCATTTGCTCCCGCCAAACACACACACATACACACACACGCTCTCTCCAAACTACTCTGTGGAAATTGAATGATCTCCATATAATGGAAACAACTACTCTTCAACAATAGAGGCTGTTGTACGGAGGCAGAGAGCAGAGGCGTGAAGGAAAACATCAGGCTGCACTCTGTGAACAGCTGAGATTGTGCCCCAGCGTACTGTCTGAAAGCCGTCTGTCTGGCGTTTTAGTGCTTTTCAGGGGAGTGATTAATAAAATAAGGCATGTTTTTTCACAGAACCATTTGACGTTCAAATGAAACATATGGCAGAACAGTTTGTTTTACTGTTTGCCCCTGGGATGTCAGCTATAGATACACAATAAAGGACGACTTTTGTTAAAAGAAAAAAAACAGAACCAGACCTTTCTAAAGACCATTGTTTGGGGTTGTCTGGTGCAATGAAACACCCCTCTTTGTATTTTTCTGCCCACACAATCGGCCCGGTGAAATTGGTTCCCCTCTTGCTGTGCGTGATGACTGTGTGTTTAGAGGCACAACAATAGATAACTGGAAATGGCTCTTACAAATGTTCCTCTATCCTTGCTGCAGGTGCGAGGACATTCAAGTGCGACCAGTGCGACGCAACCTTCAAGAGGAAGGACACGCTTAACGTCCACATCCAGGTGGTGCACGACGGCCACAAGAAGTATAAGTGCGACCTGTGCGAGAAGGCCTTTGTCACTCCTTCAGTCCTTAAGAGCCACAAGAAGGTGAATGAAAAGAGCTTGAGCCAGACAGAGCTCAATCATAGACAGTGATTACATGTCTGCGAGGGTTGTCACTTTGTCCCGAAATTGAGTTCAAGCAGCAGTTTTGGTGTATTTATTTGAACAGTTAGAGCATAACTTATTAAACCTTCTACATTTTAGATTGAAGGTTAAAGTAATGGGAGCATTCCACCAAATTGCAGTTTTAAATCAGATATTCCATCATCAATCTTCTGCTCTCACACTGAATTTAAAAGGGAAGAAATGACAGCCCGACCATCTACTTCACCAAAACGTTTCCATTGTTTCTGTTTCACATCCATTCGTACCCCTCGTCTCATGAAAGTGATGCAGCTAACTACTAATATCTTGCACTGTCAAACCTGGCGGAGACATCCGTCTTGACCGTTGCTGCCCATGAAGGCTTGGAAATCAATTCCTACGTTGATTAGAAATGGCAGTTAGTCCATTAGCTCCGCAGGGTTTCAAAGCCCCAAACAGATCTCGCTGCAGATTATGAGCCCTAAATCTGACAACGTCCGGTGTGGTTATGGATCAAGATTGAAACCAAACAGATTCTTGGCACACGGCAAAAGAAAATGTCTCGGAGGTTGTCTCAGAACAGTAGGGCTGAAGACTGGCATGTTGAACTGTCTCGCTGCTTACAGGGTCTGGAGGCTGCTGGGAGATCTGGCCTTGATCAAAGCCAGGTTGCCGGGGAGACGACAACTTGCTGGCTGTGTTTACATGCAAAGAGTAACCCTGCTTCTGGCCATACTATTGTTGAGGTCTAATTTAATGTACATCTTGATACTTGCCAACTGTTTGTCTGAGCAAACTTTGGCCCCCAAATAATCACAAATAGTTCTCACAGCCATGTTTTGTTAGTATCAAAGTCTAACCGTGTGCACCATGTCATGATCTGCACATATGATGAAAATCAAAAGTAAATAGAGCAAGATAAATAACTTTTTGAACATCATGAAAGCCAAACATCTGATCCAGGTTTTCATTATTCTAACAAAAGTCTGATGCTTTTGAGTAACTCTGCAAGCAATGATTATTTGCATCATAGATTAATCTCTTTTTTTTCTATCAATCATTTAATTGTTCAGTCTTTGAAATACAGAAAGAAAATAGTGAATAAATGCCAAGGCGACTTTTTCAAATTCAAATTGAGAATCTGTGACCAGTGAATGTTTGCCATTTTTGCTGGAAAAATTACTGAAACAACCTATTGATTATCAAAATAGTTGCTAAATAATTTTTTGTTGACTGACTAATTGTTTAATTAACTAATTGTTTCAGCTCTGCTTTTGAATTACCAGGTGGCTCAGCTCTAGCCACTGAGCCTGAATGGCTTGACTGAAACTGAATTGCTTTAAGAGGGTGGATGCAGTGGTCTTAATGCATAGAACATTTTGTGTGGCAACTACAAATATGTCGGCTGAACCAGGAACAGAATGGATGTACGGTATAACTTGCTTGTGTAAATGAATGCTGTCCATTTGTAGCAGAGTTATTTGTGGATCGCTCTTGTGTTGCAGTCAGTGCTGTCAACTCAGTGTGCATGGATTTGTGTTATATTAGAGGAGGCGTGTGTGTCAGCATGTATGTGCATGCATTGTATAAGAGTCTCACCCCTTTCAGTGCTGGGCCTGAAAAATTCCCTCATGAATGAAAATTACAGGGTTGGATTGTGAGTAATTACAGACATACAGATACTATTTATTACATTAATGTATATATATAAATCGCTGAATAATTATCTACAACTCCCAATAAATACCATACTTACAATATGGTGATCCCAAGGGAAATTGCCAGCGTCCCCGGTGGTTGTCTGCTCATGAAGGTAGAATACCAGCAATGTTTGCTCTGTTGTACAAACAAGCAACTAAATAATGCAACACTGCTCCATCTGGGACACATGTGTTCATATATGTGGATTTGTTTGTGCATGATTGTGTGAGAGTTGAGCGTGTGGGCATGTGTTTGTAAAGGTGCATGTGTGTGTCTGTGTGAGCATGTGTGTGTGAGCATGTGTGTGTGTGTTGATGGAGCCTTTGTAACGAAACACCCGAGGTGTCAGAGGGACACAGTGGGGTGATGGAGGAAAGGATGGGGGCCCAGAGAGGAGGTGTTCCTGTATTGTTGTACCGCTGTTGAAACTGTCGCTCTGAGTTTGAGCCTCCTACTCACGATTATTCTCGGGAATTTACAACAGGCCAGGAGGAGGAATTTCAGAGTGCACTTTTCAACAAGGAGTGAAGGAGAGGAGCGAGGGGGAAGGGGTGGAGGAAAAGGTAGACATGCTCGTCTTCCCTGCTTGCATGTGCAGCCCTCATGAGCCCACGGAGCTCAGCATTGCTGGGAGGTGCAGGGAGAGGAGGAAGAGGGAGGAGGAGGATGAGGAGTTGAATGCATACGTGCACCCTGGCCTTTAGTCCCCTGGGCTTTGGACTCTGGCAAATCTGCATCATCTGTGTTCTTTGATCCTGCCTTCAGGGCAGCTCAGTGGATCCACTGTCATGTGAACATGTGCATCTCCATTCACTGAGTCTACCACTAGTTAGTGGTGCAGGATAGGAAAAAACTAGATTTTGTTCATTCTTTACCCAATCAGACAGAGCAGTTTGAAAAAAAGCTCTAAAGAGGGCATTTAAAGTGGAATTCGGATTCTGGGGTCGCTTTTACCAAAACAAAATCAGATTATGTTTGTATGAATGGTTTAAAGATACATTATGATAAAGTTGAATTTTCTGATTTTGATAATGTTCTGATGACTATCTATAATGTTCTGATGTTGAGCTATCAAAGTAGATCACGTTTTACTTTGTAATGTAGGAAGGATGTGAGGATCAATGTTACAAATGTTTTTCTTAACATCAACCACATGTCTGTTTTATCTCTGCCAGACACACACGGGGGAGAAGGAGAAGATCTGCCCGTACTGCGGACAAAAGTTTGCCAGCAACGGCACGCTAAGGGTCCACATCCGCAGTCATACAGGTCAGTGGCCCTCCACAGTTCAATGCTATGCTTCCATCAGCTACCATTAACATCACCTACTGGAGTGAAAGATGTGGAGTATCGTCATAACACACGTCCATAGAGCTGTGAGCGACACACGAGAATCACACTTTAGCTCATTTCAAACTGGCATTCTTGCTATAATCACATTAAACTTTTTTGCGGATCTAAACGTAATATTAGCCCTGCAAATTATCAGCTGTATGATGGTGAATCAGAAGAACTGGAACCCTGTGGTCTTTCTCGGTGCTACATCAGAGACCCATTTTCCCTTAAATACCCAGCCACATTATTTAACTTCCTTTATTCAGCCTGACATTGTACGTACTGGTTCGCTTATATGCTCTCAAGGAACGAGGTTACACATTTAATCAAAGAACGTGCCTGGATGCAATGTGGTAACCTGGTTACTATAAATCCACGCATACATGCAGCAGGTCAGTTATCAGATTATTTTGGAAGTATTACTGACGTCTACAGTTAACAGTATTAGTGATTTTGTTTTTTGTGTGCGCCTGTGTGGAAGCAGACTGATGACAGGAATAGGACAGACAGGCTTTTCCTCACAGTGCAAATATTTGACTTATTTAGACTTCTAGAGGCTACTTTGTGTTAGTTTCCGTTTGGATATAGTTATTTGAAAGTCAAGGTCACTACATGTATCACCTCTCATTGTTCTGTTCTGCTGTCACAACATGAGCCTCAGTCCACAAGGAAGCAGCAGTAGTGGTTATAAGAGCAGTTAGCAATTTTCATGATAATCAAGAAATGTGCTGATTTAAGATTTATTTAGTCAACTTGTAATAGATGTAGCTAGATTACGTCTCCATTTTTAATGCCACCTGTAAAGCTCTGATTGGTTGATTACCCCAATCAGAGGAACAAGCTGTCAATGGGCGCAACACCAGATGCGTGTGTGTATGTGTGTGTGTGTGTGTGTGTGTGTGTGTGTGTGTGGAAACAGGCTACTAAATACCAACACATTGTCTTGAATGCCATTGGCGTTTTGCCTGGCGCTCTCGTCTTACTGTCTTCACACCATGACACTGTACAGGTTTAAAAAAACGAATGAACAAAGCACATTTTAATATTAGAAAATTCAATATGGAGGATGGAGCCTCGCATGCACTGCCACAAAAATACAGCCCTGGATGTTCATTAAACTGCCTTAAACTGGAAAGCTACACATTCCTGTGCGTCTCCTTACCAACAGACTGGTGCAGAGACCTGGCATGGCCACACACACACTTCTTGGCCTCTAAACTCCTTCACTCACTCTTTATTTCTCTCTCTGCCCGACCTGGCTGTCTCCCTCTTTTCCTCACTCTGACTGAACGTCATCTCTTCTTCTCTCTCATGTTGTCTTCTCATTGTCCTGCTGGTTTTCAGGGACTGAATACGTTGCTTTACTCTGCCTGCTACTCTCGACTGCTGAAGCACACTCAAAAATGGCATTTTCCTATAAAACACAATAATCCTCCTCACCGGTCTTGATCTTCTTATTGAATCCAGGTAGAGCCGTCATCATTAACCCTAATATGCGAAGCTGCCTGATATAATCAGTGCTCAGGCTTCAGTCAGCTTCATTCCTCAACTTTTTTTGTGTTGGATTCCTTACCACCCATGAAATTATAAATGTTTTCAGCTTAAATCGTACGTGTAGCCTTCCCTTCAGGTGTTGACAAGATTATAGTGTGTCAAAATGTGTGTGTATATTAGAGTGGTGGCAGGACGATGGTCCTTTGACAAGCCTACCACACTTTGTCAACAGCCTCCTTTGTACGTATGTGTGCATGAGCTGTGTATGTGTGTGTTTTCGTACATGTGTATGTGTGAAGGACAAACCAACAGAAAGAGAGAATGTATTCCAGTGTGGGCCGCGGCCCAGTCTGATTGTATTTATATAGAATAAACAAAAGAGAGGAATGCTGGGGGAGGGGTGGGAGCCGAGGGGACACCTCAAAGAAAGAAAGGAGTAAAGAGAGAAAAGACCACTCCAAGAAAGCATCCAGCCGGATGACCCTTGACCCTGACTGGCTGTAAATCTGTCCCCTCATTCTATAGACTGGGTTTTTTTTTTTTGTTTGTTGTGTTTTTGTGTGAGGGGAAAAAATAAGCTTTGGTGAAAGTGTGAGTCGTTCCCCGAGCGACAATCCTGACAAGACTCATCTTGTTCTCAAACAGTTAAGTGTAATTTTTCATGGGCACACACAGCTCATGTAACCCATCTGTTGATATGTAGATTGTGTTATAAATCATAAAACGACACTGGTAATGCAAGTATAACTGTAAAGAGGGCAAGTTTTTTGGTCAGTTATCTGTTAAAGAACGGCACCAGCTGAGGTAAAGACCTTTAAATGGACGGCTTCTCTGGATGGCAGACAGGAAAGCTTGTTCTTGTTTGTCTTCCTGCTTCACAGGAACAAGTCAGCATTGATTATTTACCTGCTAAACACAGAGGACTTTGTGAGGATTCCTTGGAGATTTCCTTCCCCTATCATTTTACCATCAAAACTGGGGAGCATTATGGGACAAATGGGTAAAGTGAGAAATAGATTAAAGAGAAACATCAACCTGAGAGTGTTAAGTAGCTGGCGAGACATGTACTGTATATTTGGCTTGGATTTTGTTTCAATTTGATTTGGTTAGAACATCGTGTTGAGCTCAAACAAATTAGCTGTAGTGCCACAGAGGCAGGTCTCTTCTCAGAGAGCAGCCTTTATGAGATCACAGACAACCAATAAAATGCGAGCTGTCAAAAACTTGGCCGAGGATGCTGAAGACTTTGGGGAACTCAGTAGTCATGATGGATGTTTCTATCATTTTCAAAATTATTCTTTTTGGCTCTGTTAGGCTACAAAAAAATGTGTCCTTCTCCACATCACAGCTCAGTGAGAGTGTATTTTCCCACTATGTGTGCCATGATGTGGTAAATAACCATAGTGGGGTCATGAAAATTATTTGTGCCAAGGGAAACGCTGACAGAACCCAGTACCTCGCTGTCATACTGACATCATAGGACATGTCATGTTTGGGCACAATGATCAATGTAAACCCATGAGCTGTCTTACAGCTAATTGGTGTGGCATTTAACCCTTAAATATGCTGATTTAGTGTTTATGTGGTATAATGAATCAAGCTTCAATATTTATTTCCACATGCTCAGCCAGGCCGAGGGGTCGCCAAGTGTGTTTTGCACGTATTAAGTAGTCAACAAGGGAATCATCTTCATCGTAACCAACAAATAAAAACTTTCTCTCCTGTAAATCTAACAAGCAAAAACAGGAGAAAGAATAAAACAAAAAGTAACCGCCTCTACAATGTGTCAACTCTGCATAGCTTTCTAAGATTAAAGCCACGAATGCAACCGGCGGGCACTGACATGTATGGGTTTAATTCATCACATAGATGGCACCAATTTTCACTGGAATTGTCTCATTTTTCTAAAAACATGCCACCAGAAGCATTTGAAGATGCTATAATCACAAAAGGTTTATACATAGTGGCATTAAAGGGCCACTCCAGCAATTTAGTTCTACACTCCCATATAGTTAGTCGACTTGCAAGAGAAAAAAAGATTGGGGAAAAATTGAAGCAGCAGGGGCAGAGTGGCTCAACATTTGCTGATCTGGCAAGGTGCTGCGTCGGCCAATCAAATACATATAAACACAAATTTCTGGTAGCTTACTTTGTAAAAATAATGCTGTATGTGCCTTGTGTTTGTCCTAATAAAAGAGAAAATGATCACAGAGTTCATTTAAAATTAAAATTATTAAAGCCCCCAAAATCACTAGATTTTACATTTTGTCGATAATACAACTCAGCTGTGTCTTTTATTAGACCGTCCCTGTCTTGTAAAGGCTTGTCTTTCAGTTTTGTATTTCCAGACTGAGATAACCCTGTTGACACCTATACTAACAAATTAACAAGCCCAAGGTCTCACTGGTCCAGGCCACTGGGCAATTGTTATGCCAAACCTTATATGCTGTTATTATCAGGTTGTATACAGTAGTTAATGTACATACAGGCCATAGCCCAGGGTCTGGTTTTCCTCAAAGACCTAGAGTAAGGAGTGGTTGCTATTAGAGTAGAAGTAGAACTGCTTCACTGAACGCCAAGCTTGTGTTACAGTGTGTGTACAACGTGAAGCATTTTAACATCAGTAAATCTAAACATTTTTATAATTATATAAATGGACAGTAGAAAAAAAAATATAAAAATCATTCTGTTTACACTTTCACTTACATTCTTTACATTGAATTGTTGTATTACAGATTGCATAATAGATATGTTTCCCTGGTTAGTAAAGGAAAGGTGAAGCAACTTCGGAGCATGCCGTCTTAATTTTCTAAACACGCGCTAGTTATAACACTGGCACTGGACAGAGTGTACTAATTGTCTCGATCAGTTGTAATGGTAATTATACACAGCCATATTTTGATGTTTTACAGAGCTACACATTGCAGCTTTAAGTGATCTCACGAGAGAACAACTGCCCTCAAATGGACATCTGGTATAACTCTGGGATCCCTGAACCTATTTACGTACAGATGATTTTGTTTGTCTCGACTGTGGTCATGGTTACAATCTTGTAAAGTAAAATCGCCGTGTTCTAAATTATTGTCCGTCCTGCCGATGAATAGAGCCTCACTATCACAGCTTTAACTCCGGGTGCCGTGCAGATGTTTAATTTGGACTGAGGATTGTGTTATGAGACACGTGTGAAGTAGTTCGCATTTGCTGCCTGTGTGGTAAGACGAGTCCGTCTGATACACCTTCACATGGGCAAGTTCAAGAGAATTGTTTGAGGAAGTGGAGAAATCTACCGAGACCCTGGCTATAATGGAAAGGTCAAGTGTAAAAGTTGTCGGGCGTTCCTACGGCTCATCAAAGGCAATCTCTTATCATCTCCAACACACTGATATCACATTACCTCTGTGGCCCCTGTCGGCATGTGACACAGGGCAGAGAGAAGGACAGTGGAGGGCCACTGTCTGGCTGAACTGGAGGAAGCCAGGAATTAATTTTCTGACGGACAGCACTAATGTCTTTCAGACCGGAGCCCTGAAGCTACAAAGCGCTCTCCATAACAGGAACGCTGTGCGGCAGGCAAAAACGACAAAGCCGACCATCTGCTAACCAGACACACGGCCGTACGCACACATATACAACACACGAGGGGTGCCAAACGGATCGATTAGCAGACAAGGAGTGTGAGGGCCACAGCGGGGGCCGGGGGAGACACCCAGGGTCAAAGAGATGGTGTACTGTTTCAGCACATGCTAAATCAGTTACCATCTCCACACACGTAAAGCCCTGGCTCAGTGCTGCAGCCACCCCTCATAATCCCCAAACAATCTGGCTCAATCTGGAGAATAAGTGGAGGGTTTCTAGTTACAGTAACATTCAGCAGAACAGACACTGAGCCTCTCACACGAATAACACAGGCCGATGTTGCAAGAACGTTACTACTTATGTTTCCAGGTAGCATTTGTTTATTTCCTGTTTCGCCAATGGATTGGGTTGCTCTTGTTTCGCTCTGAGCAGGTTGGAACAGTGAAAAAGCCATACTGTTGGACAAAATCAGTCCCTGAGTAGAGTCTGTGATCTTTAAGAGACCATATTTATGAATGACCTCTTTTACAATATCAAATACCATCATTTTCTCTGTTTGCATTTTCCAGATGAGGCACACATGTCCAGAACCGAAGAGTGTATAGGTTAAGTAGGTGGATTGGTGTGCACTTATTGGAAGGCTCTGTGTTCGCAGGGTGTGGCTGTCTGTGCTGTGTATTAACTGACAATAGCCAGCTCCTGGGAGGGATGCGATCCAAGCCACAGAAGTACACTGGTGCACTGTGCTCCGGTGCTATTAGCACACTAATGCCTTCCCCAGGACTCCCCAAGGCTAACGCTGGGCCTTAACCCGATACCACACATGCTACATAAGACATAGGATTTGCTCTCCTCTTTCTCAAAATACATCTGGGATTCAGATTTTCCTGTTTGTCAACAAAAGGCCTCCTAGAGGCTGAAATTGCACAGAAGGGGATTTTGGGACAGAAGGACGAGCTGGCCCCTGCACATGTTTCAGTATGTGTAATCAGTCCACATATGTCACGTTAACTCTTTCCACGCCAACATTAGGCTACACATTTTATTACTTGGTGTCACATCGCTTCTCCTTGTGCACCTCTGAAGCCCTCTTGTGGGGGGTTTATGGTGGGTTCAGACCCCGACTCGTACATCTGCTACATGACAGCTGTCATAGCTTCTCTGTTGAAAAACACAGGATTTGTGGGATATGAATAATTTAGATATATGTAAAAGTTAGGATACATGACCATCTCATCAAGTCAGGAGAAAAAAAATGCAATATTTAAGTAAAATAATTTAAATACAAAATATCCACATATTTCCCCAAAAAGGATTAATTCTGGGGTACCCAGTAGCTCACCTGATAGAGAGTCCTTACCACAGTGGCCCAGGTTCACTTCCAACTTTGCAGTTTTCTGTTTCTTCAAGCTGTCACTGTCCAAATAAAGGCATGAAAAGCCCCAAAAATTATATATTAAAAAAAGCCTGAATGACCCTAAACAGTCTTTGCACCTTTGAATGAAATAATATCTGAAAATGGCCATTAAGTATTGACTGTGTACCTCAGTCAAGCCTTCCTCACTTACTGTAAGGAATAGAAGAGAAACATTCCTTCAACACAGTTGTGTTTATAGCAGTGGGATAATAATACTCTTCTATTATTCCCTAGATGGATTTTCTGATTTAATAAGCATCTTTGCATTTTGAATCCCAAGGAAACACAGCTAATTAACCTTATTACTTAAAGGGGCAAAACATCTCCCCCACCAATAAAATTACTTGCTTGCCTGTTCAACAATTAGTCACTGAAGAGAGATTATGTTTCTGGGAAGCGGATAAGAAATTAGATTGTTGTACTGAAGGGATGAACACAAATGTCTAGCTGTAGGTATCTATTTTTACCGGTGTTTCATTAAATTGTACTGAGGCCACTTGCAGGCATATATTAATTCAGAAGAGAGTAATTTCTTATGTCATGAGGAATGGGACATGAGAAAATATAGACCTTTTTAAGTTTGATTGTCTGCTCTATTTTCAGTGTTGTGGACACAGGATATGTATTTAGTTTGCACTAGCTTCCTGATTAAGGTCTATGAAATAAATTAAGCAATTATTGAACCCAGAAAATTTTTTTCTTGTCAGTTTTATACTGTATTTCCCTGTCTGAGACTTTAATTTCAGTGCGGTTCTATAGGTTACCTCATATCCCTTCTATAGATTAGTAATCAGCTCTGGTGCTCCTATCTGGCCTGTGGATCAGCACACGGTAAACAGATCCATGTGTCAGTGGACTGTTTGACTGACAGCCTGTCACTTTCTCTTTGTCATCATCGGTGTGTGCTCAGATAGGATCTGTAGGAGTTTGGCCAGACTGCTTTTGATCCAACTGGGATAAATCACATTGCCTCTGATATGCTCCTAAACTGTTGGCCAGTTGTAGCTCAGATAGCGAGCCACGAATCGTAGCCAATATACGTTTTTGCTGCAGTGGAAAGTCAGTGTGCATCAGACACAAATGGCTCTGAGTGAAAGATATCTGGTCTACCAGTAGCAAGGTCAAATGTGCGTTAGAGCAGCTTAGAGGGGCAGGACACAGGCAGCAATACACAGACCTGAACCATGGGTGAGGCAAGGACCAAGACACACAAATGTTCATGTTTGTTTTCTATCTTCTATCTGACAGTGAAGGTGTGTCTTTAAGCTGGTCATGTTTGAGAGAGCAAATTCAATATAGTACGTATGATTGAAAGACCTCCTGTTTGGCAAAGTTCTAGTTTAAGCCTTTATGGTACAGTATCAGTTTCATATGTGAATGACGTTGACTCATGCACAATAATGGTTTTCGTTCCCTAGGTGAGCGTCCATACCAGTGCCCCTACTGTGACAAAGCGTTCAGCAAGAATGATGGCCTGAAGATGCACATCCGCACACACACTCGTGTAAGTTTTCCCCCCTTTCTGTGCTCCCATTTGGAAAATATCAATGAAATTGTATTCTCTATGCTGCTCTACTCTTCAAACACAGTAATTTCTCATTTTACACTATATTGTATGATCATTTTATTAGTTAAAAAACATTGATGTATAGAATATTTGCTCTGGTGTGTTAAATCACTCTACTCACTACTAAACTGTCTTTTCCTACAATTACAAGTTGTGAAAAAAGCCTATGAACACCTAATTGGTTTTCCATATCCCAGAATACAAAGTGAGTGAATAGGTGAAGAGATGGAAGGAGAGAGAGGGATGCTAACCTACTGTCAGGTGTCCCACTGAATTTATAATTCTGCCTAAGGCACCACCCTTCAGGTTCTCTGTTTAGACTTTTTCTGAAGTGCAGTGTGCAAAAAGAAATTCTCATAAACCTTGCTCTGTGAGAAAGGTCTTGTCTCTGTGTCTAACATTTCTGACACTCCCTGCCCATTTCATCATGAGGTAATTGCCGAATTACCAGGTTCTTTCATAAACCAGCTTGTAATGCCTACTGACACAAAAGGCAGAGGTAGTGTCAATACATGCGGAGAGAAGACATAGGAAACATTGTTTTGATGTCCTGAACATGTAAATGTGAAGAGTGAGGGCTCAGGGTGGAGTAAGGGAAAAGGTAGGGTTCTCACTGGACGTCATGAAGTCATTCCCTGGGTTGAGACAGCGCTCGTTTCCCTGCGTCATGTCTCGACCCATTGAAGTTCTCCACCAAAAGGGAGGCTTTCCATGAGCTCTTTGTGAGCATCTGGACGTCTGTGTTAGTGCCACTTTTGATAAATGAGACTTAATATGTGTTTCATCGTAGATTTCCATCATCAGTTTATACAGCTATGACTGTGACAGTCGTGGCCTGTCATCACTGTTAATTTCAAAGATTTGTCCCCTTGTAATACTGTCCAGAGCACAGCGCTCTGCTGTTACAGTGTGTTGATAATGGAGGTATCCTGCCCAGGTTGCTGCTCTTAGTAGAAACAGGCAGGTATAATTTTGTAGCGAGCTGCTGATTAAACTGACTGATGTTTTGTTCCTAATGTTCCCAGCTCTGCCTTTGCTCACAGCGCTCAGAAATATGGGCTGAACAGTTACAAACAGCAGAGCCAGATGAAGTCACTGTTGAGCAAAACAAATGTCATTTGGCTGAAAGAGCTGCAGCTCACTTTTAATGTACAGACGATTTGAGATTGATGCGTTTGGTGTGTTTATACCAAGACCACATCACGGGCAAACTAAAATGGAACACATTTGATCCCGATATAAACTGCTGACATTTTGGATATTAATAGATGTTTTTATAATAATGTTTTGATTGCTGATGCAAATGGATGTGTAGCTATATATTGTGTGATCACAAACACACTTCTTATGTAGAAGGTTCCATCCTTTGTTATTTGGCATAAAGGAAGGCTGCTTTATTTTTTGACTCGTACACTTTGAAACTGAGAGAGGATTTTAGGGTTAAGCTTTTCATTTCCATGACTAAATAAAGGTGGACTGCTAGTGGTAGTGCTGTCACTTTTTCAAATTAATAATTCAAATCAAATTAGAATATTTTGTTGTAGGGATGCACCAATTCCAGTTTCACTCCCCTGATACTGAGAGCTGTGTTAGTACTTAACTGTAAGAGGAGATGCCCATACTCAAACATCATTTTACTCTTTTACTATTGTTTAAAATGCTTAAAATAGCTTTGTGAAAATACTTAAAAACTACGATAACAGACACACTATCATGTTCAACTTTCCTCAAATATATAACACAAACAGTTCAGCAGTAGGATTACAGATGTGTACAGATGCAGAGCTGATGCCTGACCACATCACCTGTATGTGGCTCACAAACCAAAAGCAAAAAACAACGTGTTTTTGTTACTCCCGTTGCTAGAAGTTTGTCTTTAATATGACTGTCAGTCTGCGTTGTCTGTGTTGGTCTCTGTTAACAAACAACTCAGTTAGTATGTTTTTTGTTTGGCCCTCTTTCCTTAACTCACACTATACAGTATATTACAGGACCAGTGTGTAGGATTTAGTGGCATCTAGCAGTGAATGTTCAGATTGAAACCAACTGAATACCACTCGCCTCGAGCTGCGAAAGCTCCCGAAAAATGAAAGGCCCTATCTTCAACATAGTGGACTCCGTAGAAGAAAACCCACTGCCTCCGAAAATAAAAATGGCTCAATCTAAGTTAATGAAGACACAAAGATAATTTTTCCCGTGACTATATGCTAATAAAAACATACCTATGAATATTATATTCTATTTCTGCAAGTAGATCCTCCTAAATGTTACACACTGGACCATTTTGAAGATGAGTTGTTATGCGATTTCTAACTGCACCCTGAAGCCTAATAGAGCACATTGACTTCCTGTTGGCATGCTGCTTTACAAATACTAACATATTTAACATGACACATGAGACGTGGGACTCTTTTGGAGTAAATAAACCAAACCATCCTTGCATTTGAGAGTGGTCAGACTCAGAGGAAAGGTCAGGTCAAAGGTCAAAGGGTGAACAGCTGCTTAAGAGTGAAGGTCACCAGGTACAGATGTTCGATGTTACCGGGGTCATAGTGATGCATTCTGGGTACACCACATCATCTGAATCCATCCATGTGTTTCCTGACCTTTGAACTTTAACTTCTCATAGTATTTTTCCTTTGTCATACAAGAACCAGTCATGCCTTATGGAAAAAGAAGTGATCCTGGTTAAAGCAAAAGATTTAAGTGGAAATTTGCATTACACAGATCATCGCAGAGTCTGGTTCCGCGAGGCGGGTTTCTCGCACACACACACACACACACACACACACACACACACACACACACACCTACTCGCTGCTTTATTTCCATTGTGCCCCTTTATTCACTCACATGCACACAAACAGTTGCATACTTAAACACACACACACATGCAATGAACCTGATCTTTACCTCCTTTTGTATCCTGTGTCACTGGGCACTCCTTGCCCCGCCCACATGATAGCGCCTTTCCCAGGACCCTTACTTCCTGCATTCACCCTGTTCCCATGACAACTAAGCTGTAAATGGGTAGAGCCTTTGCTATCAGCCAGACTTGTCAAAAACAGCTTCCCAAAGAGTGGCACTGGGAACCAGCTCCTGCTATCTCCACGCTTCTCACTTCTCCTCAAGTCTTTTAGGTGTCACCACTGTTTCCCCTCAGACTGCAGGATACACCTACTCTTCAAGGCTGTCCACCCTGCTGAACACACACACACATACTTGGAGTTTTTTAGTAAAAACACACCCACAGTGAGATAGCTGCTTTGACTGACACTGAGACAGGCCTCCAAAAGGCGCAGAGGAAATGTTCTTTGGTAAACTGATGAGGTGTGGAGACAGAGGAGTGATATTCTACAGCCCCAGAGTGCCAGTGCACTGATATATGTTCAAAGGGATTTTCTCTGCCGTGTTTTCCTTACTCTTTTGAGGAATCCATGTGGTTTTGATGGCCCCTACGCCGGTCATTTCCTCCCTACTGCAGGGGTTGTACAATCTTTCATTTCATATCTTCATAAACTCACAGGGAGAACACACCGGGGTGTGAAGAGAGAGGGTATCAGTGTGTTAATGTGTGTGTGTGTGTGTGTGTGTGTGTCTGTGTGTGTGTGTGGGATATTTCCACATCATTTCGTGTTTTCCACTGTGCTGTGCTGTGCGTGTCTGTTTGTTTTTCTCTGTGTGTGTGCGTGCACATGTGTGTGTCATTACACTTGTGTATGCCTTAATGGACACAAATCCATCTCCAGGTTTTGTCCATATGTGACCAAACTGGGGAAGTGTTTTTTCATGTATTGTTCTGCTGCACACTGACAGATCAAGTGCCCTCTTTAAATTTGGCGTGTGCGTGTGTGTCGCTGCAGGAGAAGCCGTATAAATGCAGCGAGTGCAACAAGGCCTTCAGCCAGAAAAGAGGACTGGACGAGCACATGAGGACCCACACGGGAGAGAAGCCTTTCCAATGTGACGTGAGTGTCCCACCACCTCTGCTGTACCTCCAAACCAACCACTGCGTTCCCTTCAAGTGTTTGTCTGTGTGTATATGTGATGGAACAAGGCCAGATGTGGGGAAGCATTGGGGGGGGGGGCTCTTTAAGAGGCAGATAGTGATCTAGCTTCTCTGGAGGGGCCGAGTGGGCTGATCTCACGTAAACACATTGAGAGGATCAGAGGGAGAAATTACCCTCTGCTTATAATACTGGAGCAGTAATAATTATTCTCAGAGTCTGGGGAGGGAGAATGTGACACAAGATGTTGTCCGTGTTAGAAACAACCTTTTTAAAGACTATGTTTTATCACCATTTCTGAAAGCTGGAAACATAGGGCAGTTTACTATATATGTTCTGCTTTTTGTTCAGAAAGCCACAGCTGTATTTTAGGATTCTCTTCCATTCAAAATCCCATGACACTTTATCTAGCTCTCAAAAACCTTTTTAATGTGATTCTTCCAAACATAATTAAGATTCAGATTTTTTATATAATTCTGGACCAGATGTTTTCAAACTGTGAGGGGAGCGCAGAGGGAAGTGAGACAAAGATGCTGTGTGAGATGAAGGGGACAGGTGCATGCTGGTGCTGTAGTTTTTGCAGTTTGGCCTGCTCACTTAATGGTCAGCTGGGCTTTACGCTACTTCTTCTCGGAGTCATAACTCAGTCAGGTCTGATCACACAGACACGATGCACATGTTGTTCAGATTTAGTGTGACTTACACTTTCTGAGGATATCATTATCACAAACTGTCCATCGTGCGTCAACACCCAATCCAACAATCTGCTCAGAAATCACAAAAAAAACAGACCCTATAACTCAACTGTTTTCTTCAGTGTCAAAGTAATGATACAGTGACAGCTGTGTGTATATCCATGGGTACACTGAAAACAGGAAGTGATAATAGCTAATTTGGCATGCCTTTAATGGTCCTGCTTTAGTCTACAAATGCAGACTGAAGATATTCTTGCTTAATTGTATCTCATAGCATTCAAATCCAAAGCAAAACTTACAAAACTCGGAGCTTGATTATCTCCCAAAAAGAAGTAAGGCAGTATAACAGTAGGCATTGAAAACTTGAAAAAATGTGGGGGTGCCGTTGTCTCAGTTTTGTCTGGGGGTGGTCCACAGCCTTTGTTCTAGTCAGCTCAGTCATGGACAATACTCTTACATTGTAACTCTAGAATCCAAATATCTCTTAATTCTTTGATGAACATCAAAAAACCATTTTGCATCTAATCCATCGTCCAACTCTGGATTCTCAGATTTTCGTTTGAGCTTTAACACTCTATTAAGCCTTGATCCGTGGCATCGCCTTGAGTTCTAATCCCAGAAAATGTGCTCATATCCCCAGAAAATGGTCTGTAGTTGTTATTAAAGACCACAGAATCAGTATTCTTTTCATTGTCAGTGAAGCATCACTAGAAAGTGTCTCCCGGCGTCATCCAACATTCATCTGGATTCTTTTTCCCAGCTGTGGAAGAGCGATTTTCATGTAAATAATTCTATGCTTAACTATTAAAGATAATAGAAATAACATGTGGATTTTATTTTGGGGTGGATTTTGAGTCAGACAAAAGGATTGCACAGATCCAGGAACATTTTCCAGACAAGCTGGAGGGGCTCAATAAGCAGTGTCTGTCATAACAGCATTAAAAATGTTGTAGAAGCATCCAGTAACATCTGGGCTACGATGAGACAAGGAGGCCCCTCTCTCATCAGCTCCTGTCACTGAGTTACTTTATAATATTCCTAATATTTTACTGACACTGGATCAGATTTGTAGATTGTTGAATGATATTTAATTCCACTTGGATAGTAAAGCTAGAACATGATAGCACATCAATACGAGTGTCCAAGTTGCCTGAAAAACGAATGATAGACTGTACGATTATAAACATAGACTCACTCTGGACTAAAAAGTCTCAGGAAAACAGAAATGTTTGGACTGACTACATAATAATATGTATAATATTGTTTTTGACTAAACCAGAAATTATATAACTCATATCTTTTTATTTTTTGCCATTTAACCACAGATGTAAATGTTTTTTTCTGAATGTAATTCATTGCACTGAGGTTCCTCACAGATGGAGTGAGGACACATGCTGTGATTCTTTAAAGCAGTATGTTAAACTGCAGCTGAACACCAGCCAGTGGCGGATTATCATGATTGATAGAGGACGATGGAGTCATTTGTACAGTGTAAAATGGCTCATTTATGATGGATGTTAAGTTGCATGCATTCCCTCTCGCTACTGGCAGAAAAAACAGGCTTTCTGTCGCCAAGGTCCGCCGCGATTTGATTCTATTTACAAGTCTCTCTCTTTGTCTCTGGCTGTGCCTGTTTTATCAGCTAAACTCTACAGTGAGCAGAAGAAACTGGCCAACAAAAACTTAAAGATCTCCTCCATACATGTATTAACACATGTATACAAATAATCTGCTTGGAACAATAATATGTCTGATATGTTTTTTTCCACAAATAAGTGTAATTTCCCATTAAAATCCTTAAAAAGGCATCTGCTCCTTCTACATCATTAAATATACCAGAATCTATCAATAAATAAATGTTGTTGATTTCTAAAGTTTTCCTTCTGGACACAATATGTCCTCATTCTCAGTGTATGTGCACTGATGTATCACACTGTACAAGTTGCATATTAGGAGGAGATCGATACACTGATTGATTCCAAACTATTTGTGATGTCACAAATCATGCTTGTAGGCCCCTCCCCTTAAAAATCTGATTTCTAATGAGCACAGAGAAACTTTCCACTTTTAGCAGATGAATGTGAAAACATCCTTCTAGTGTCAAACTCTGCACAGACAGCATTCTGGACAGTGAAGCTCAAATATCCAACGGAAGAACAAGAAGAAAACAATTTTTTAGCAGAGGGGGTTTAAAAAAACATGTTTATTTGCTTTAATTTTTGGATCTTTTTTGTCTTTTCTAGGTGTGTGACCTGTCATTCAGCTTGAAGAAGATGCTCAGCAGGCATAAACTCACACACAACCCTAACCGGCCCATGGCAGAGTGCCAGCTGTGCCATAAGAAGTTCACCAGGAACGACTACCTCAAAGTACATATGGAGAATGTCCATGGGGAAACAGAGAGCTAGAGCCAATTATGGAACCACTGGCTGAAAATAATATCTGATTCCTCAGATAAAGTTCAGTCTCATGCATCATTCAAGCTGCATGGCCTATACATACTGTATACACAGATGGATCGATATGTTATTAAAGATACATACATGTAGAATATGGAAAAGATTTGGGCGAGTATTTCAAAATTGAAACACAAGCTGTATATTTGTATTTTTTTTTCTCATACTGTTTAGATATTGTTGTGGATATCTGATCAAACAAAATCCCAAATATGTTCGAGATGCCTCCAGTGACACTTTGTCTGACATTTCACTTCTAGTCTCTCTGACATCTAAACAGTGTTACTGTTCATACTGTTCCAGCCTGACCTCTTCCACTGTAGCATTGACCAACTGTCTGAACACCTTACTGTACACCTTTGGCCAGTTGCCATGTGTCAAAGAACACCTGTGACCAAAGACCTTTGAGTGCACTTTTGTAGTTTTACCTGCACAATTTCTACATGTTTATACCTTTCCGTCACAATTTACACCTGCTCTTCGCCGTCCAAACATGTTTAATATTTAGTCTCTGTTCAGCCCCAAGAGCATACTTGAAAACATGTTGCTCTGTTTATTATTTCAAAATAATAAGTATTAAAACAGGATGTTTGAACAGGAGGTGGAGAAGTAGAGCTCTGAAAACAGTAATCCAATCAGCTAAAAAATCTGAAACAGTTCACAAATAGAGGCTTTTTATTTACATGAGAGTATAAACATCACAGCCTTTTATTCTCCTTTGTCAGATCTACTAGGGCCCACATTTTTAAAGAGTTATGAATGGCCCCAAGAAAAGTTGCATGGTTTTGTTGCTAAATGGGGTCATACAAGACAGGAATAATTAGAAATTACATTTAGTTTTCTCTAAAATTTAAGAATTTGCGCGTAAAACCAGATATCTGTTTTTAGGTATAAACCAGTAAAGTGCTGGACCTACATTATTGACTTAAGATAGAGGAGTTGACCCATTCCATCCTTTCCCATGGCCCTTTGGTGCTTAAAGTGTTACTGTTTCCATGTCCCAAACTGTATTAGGGACAAACCATCCAAAGTACTGTGTGTGTTGACTTTTGTAATGAATTGAGTGTGTTTTCATATATATGGCCTAGGGTTATTGTGCCTTCCAGTATGTGTTTACGTTGTTCTTTCTTAATCATTGTTCAACACAGTGTTTCATGTATTTCAATAGAAGTGCAATTCTGTCCTGTTTTATATCCAGACTCATTTGCTTCCTCATTCGCTGCCCCTTTGATTAATGCACATGTTCCTGCTGTTTATTCTGCATCTGTAGACTGTGAATTGTCACTTCACACTTTTGTATTTTGAAATGTATAAAACCTCATCACCTACCAAACATCCATTTCCTCCACTCGTTCTAATTATGTGTTTGTGAACTGTTGACGTTGGGGGGTGGGGGTGGTACAAGGAAACGCTTTGAGAGTTGATTAAAAGTGTTCAGTTCTCGTTGTTAATCTAACCCCTATTCTTGGGTTGGCAGTCTGCTGGGAGCGAGGGCTAATTAAGGCTTCTTTTTATTTTTTTTCTGAGGGCACAGTCACCACTCGCCTGATCTGTAAAGCCACACAGTAAAGAGTGCCTCTGATGGTTTCTCTCTGTGGATGCGGGGACGCTTTCTCACGTCCGTCCCCAGCAGAGGCTCTCTGGTATCTCAGGATTGAACTCTGTGAGAATCTCATGAGCGGAGCTGGAGTGAAGTGGGAGCGCTGGGAGTCCTTCTCATCATCATCATCATCGTCATCATCATCGCCCTGTGAAGTTTGTTAAACGGGGCTGCTGTTCAAACCCAATAAATTTTGCCATGTGTGGTGTAGGCTTCCTAAAAACACGTAACCATTACAGTATGCCTATCTTCACATCTTTGAGTGTGTGCCTGTTTGTTTAACAATTAACTAATTACTGGTATTCATGTTAGATTACATTTCGCTCTGTTGCTCACAGCAGAGAAATCAGAATCTGCAGGATGTCTCCGGGCTCCTATCGGCCTCTGTCAGGCTTCCAGAGGGGCGTGGTTAGCGATGACTCTCAGATCACAAGTGGCCGGGTTAACCTGCTCTCCCTCTGGAGCTCGGTTCACCGCGTGGCCAAGCAGGGCGTCGCTCAAGTCGCTCCGGCCCCGCCGAGGCCCACGCTACCCGTTGGGCTCGTGCTGCCCGCCGCCTGCTTGTTAGTGGTGAGGCCTCCAGGCCATACTGACGCACTCTCAAATACAGTGGCATTTATGTTGCATCTTGTAAACAGTAGTAGTAGTAGTAGGGGCAACCAACAGTGGAATATTATTGTCTGCCACAAATCCGTCCTGAACTGGCTGAGAGGTCAGACTGGGTGTTTGATTATCGCTCTGCTCTCTTACGTCTGTAACCATGTATCTTGCCCGTCACCATCCGTGTGTATGGTTTTCCATTTTTGTCTTACAACCTTTTATTTTCTCATGGGACTTTCCCAGTGACCCAGTGATCTTGTCCTCCGCTTCAGTCAACCTTTTTTTCCTTCCCCGCGTGCATCCCTGCCTGCATGCGTCTCTCCCTTCCTGCTGGGTGTATCATGCCAAAGCTCCCAGTCAATGTGTTTCTAATTACATGTTTTTACTGGAAGCCCGAGTTTCCTGTGTTGCCTCCCCATTTGTGAGTGTGGCCAGACTGGGCCCCAACCAGCGTCCACAGAGCCCAACGCCAGCCCCGCCCACTGTGCAGGAGTATCATTACCACGCCGGCCAGGGTTTATGGCAAACCGCTGTCACGTTAGGAATGACACGGACACGCTTGTCTGACCTCTGTGTTTGGCCAGCGTTGCCACAGCAACTGGTAGCCTACCCCTCCACTCGCCTTGACCAGAGAAATGTGGAATGTGTGTGCCCAGCGAAGAGTGCCATGCCGAAGAATTTTAATACGAGTGGGCAGGGTGTGTTTGGGTGTTCTGGGTCACCCTTTCAGCAGTGATGGATGTTCCCTTTAAGCCACATTTCCATGGAAACAGACTGTGGCACTTTGGTACCTAAAAAGCCTTGACACAGAGCCAGCAAAAGGTCAAACACTTGACAGAAGGCCATAGGGCTTGAGTCAAAAAACTTGCCTGTCTGAGGAAAACACACACACACACACTATTCATGCGATATTTGTCCTGCCTCCCGATTTGCAAGGTGGTTCTAATTTAATCTTCAGACTCCACTCCAGGCAAGTGAGCTGCGTATCAGGTCAGGTGGACAGGGATTATTTCATTAGGAGAGGAACTATCAATACACTGCTCACAGCTACTCCCCACCCACAATGTGCTCTCAACACACAACTTTATTTAAATACACAATCATTTAAGAGGGACAACACAAAACACAAGCCTGCCGAGTAGCTCTGAATTTTTAAAGCTGGTATACATCATACTTTTATATTAATAATGGGTCAAATGTGTACTTTGACCCTAACCACCCTAATCTGCAGTTTCTCTCACCTCTTATGGAGCGTTGTAACTACTTTAAGCTCATTGGCTCAGACTGGACATGAGGCAGGAGCAGCCTTAAGCCAGAATCTCTTCTGTCCAGTTCTCTTCCCTCTCCTCCTGGAGCGACTGCACTCGCTGTGGTGGAGCTGGTCCTGTCCGTCGATCCGGCTGGGTGGATCGTCCTCAAGATCCGCTGCTCTTTAATCCAAACCCCACGCTTCCTTTTCCGATGACTGCAGGCTATTTATGTCCTAGGTAATGCATGTTTCAGCAAAAACAGAAGTTTAAATGAGCTAGCCTTTTGGTTGGGGCATCTGAACACACGGCTGTTGCCATAGTCAAAATCTGCTGAATCCAGTTGATTTTAAAAATTTTGGCCCTTAAAAATAAAACTCTATCATTCAATTATCTTTCAGCAATAAAGCTAAAAAAGAACATGTACAGAAATGTAGCAAGTTTTGAAGGAGCTACCAGCCGCTGCATCTGCATGTCTCAAACCAAAAATTGTTTCAAATTGGGAACACATTTAGTCATTTCACATCAAATTTTGTGTGGAATGACACTGCAAAATCAAAATAGATGTATATTGATGGGGAAACAGCATGCCCCAATTGTTTATGTTTCAACTGCCTGCAGGAAATGGAACCACATTTGAAGCACTGGAACACAATGGCGCCTTGGACACAGATTCGTGAGAAAGGCGAGAACTTGACAATATAAGGAGGCCAGGAAACGCTCCAGAAGAATGATGGAGAATTGTCTCCTCTTCCCAGTTTTGTCCTCTTTGGGAGGTTAAACCCTGTAAGAATGGCTCAGCCTATGCCAAGTTTAGCTGCTAAGTCCAATAAACAAGACTTTTTCTAACTGTGAAGAAATACAGGAGATGAAAGGTCCCGCACACAGAGGTTCATTCTGAAAGGCTGGATGGTTAAAGACATCAGTCAGTGTGCCGGTCCACCTCTGGAACTGTAGTGCTGGTCAGTTCTGTCAGCACGTTGATGCTGTGTGCCGTCACTCTTCAGCCTCATTAGGAACTACAGTGCTGTCCTCACTTCATACACACTGGGCCGATGTCTCATGTCTCTTTTTGTGGCCATGCGTTGTAGCAACAGTACAGATACAAAAGTCAGACGAGGTTGGTCATTTTACAATGTGTGATCTTACAAAATGCACCACAACAGCTGCCTGCAGGGGTAAAAGAAACAAAGCTGACGCTGTGCTCAAGTTCACCCGTCAAAAGCAGAAATTCAACTTGGCAGAAAACATACAACAAAACAAATCCAATAAGATTTTGACCTTTGCCAAGGTTCACTGTGACCCACAAAGGGGAAAATGTCTATGATGAGCTGCCAGAAACCAAATTCAACCCATTCTTTTTATTAGTCTGTGAATATTTGAAAACGCTGCGTAAAAGGCAGCCTCTCCTGCAACCAGACTTGTCTTTCTGGTTCTTTCCTTCCCTCCGACTGCAGCTCAGGGATTTATTGTAAGGTGACTAGTGATGACAGAGAAGACTCAACTGGTCTAGCCAAAACATTTGTGAAAATGTGATGATAGACACGCCATAATTCCTCTCTTTTCTCTTTGGTCAGAGCTGCTCATCCTCCCCCTCCCTGTGCTGTTATTGTGTCAGCCCACATAATCTTGGTGTTTTGGGAGACCTGTGTTACGCACACGGCCCAACACAAGTAACACCAAACTCCTGCTGGGCTGGAGAACCAGGGTTAATGACTGCCAATGTTTCGCTGGAAGAACACACACAGAGACAACACTGAGAGGAGGATTCACTGCATACACTGAAGCAGAGTGAAATGGAATTATTAAACTCTACTTAAAAAACGTTTGAAGTAAATCTGAAACATTGGTGCGCTGGATGAAAGAAAAAGCGCATTTCAATACATGCAAAATATCCTCATTTTTTCATTCATGCAGAATTGTTATATTTGGAACAGCAGTGGACAATCTACTGAATTAAATTTAACTAGTGACATAACATTGGCCTTATTGTCCCCACTCATGCTACATTTCTGTTTTGAATTTTGTACCATGTTTGAAATTGAGTCCTGTGTGAGTGGAGAAACCAAATACCACAGCGAGGGTCTGTTTCCTGTCAGAGAAGCAGGAGAAGCAACACTGAGATACACACCTTTCATGTGCTGATTTAGGTTTTGGTCCAACGACCAGCCGAACACACACACGCACGCACACCGAGACACAGACATGCGCACGCAGCTGAACATGCACAAGGGTGCTAACTTCATGGAGAAAGGACTCCAGTGTCTGTGGCCCTTCTGAAAAGTGTGAGGTGGGACCGGGATTCTGTCTGGGCCCTCTGAATTAGCCACGCTGAACCTGTTAACCCAGACCACACACACACACAGGCAGAGACACACACATATATACGTGCACTGAATGATAATTCCCCCGCCATACAGGGACATCATGCGAGGGGAGTGACTGTTGTCAGAGTGAACAGCTGCTCGAGCCAAAACACATCTATCTTCCACAGGAAGTTATTGGTCAAACAAATGTAATGAATCCGTTGTTCTTGTCTTGTTGACCGTGACCATATCTGTCTCCCCCTCACACACACAACCCACTCAGCCCACACCATATACACACACTGGGAAAGCACGCATGTTTGTGTGTTCACTTTCTCTTCCTCACACAGACGTAGAGAATCAAGGTCATGGACCTTTTGCATAAAAGGAAGGCGGGTTCACTCCCACACCCATTTGGTTTTAGCGGTTAAGTAAAATAAAAATCGAAGAAAGCCACACAAAGAGTCAAATGTTCAAGTATTACTGGGCAAACAACTTTTTCTAATGTTTGAAACATGAGCAATATGTGGAAAAAACAGGGCAGAATCCAACCTAATGCTGAGATTAAATGTTAGTCTGCTA